TTAAACGGTTTTGCAAGCTTGTGATTGAGAGTTTCATTTCCTCTATATCTCTTTGACTCTGCTTCATGCGATCTATTTCTTTCCTGTATTGCTCATTAAGGAATCTGTCATTTTTCTAATCTCTATTTTTTTATCAATGTCTTCTTTAGAAGCAGTTGTAAATTCTTTTACTGCAGTGTTTTTTTCAGATTGGGTTTCCTCCTTATGTTTCCGTAGTTGCATGTTTACTTCAGATGCTGAGTTCTGAGAATTCTTTTTTTATTTCAGAAAAGAATTGCACTCTGAGTTCCTCTATAACTTTCTGCTGTTGCTTATTTGTTATCAACACTATTAATTCATGCATTTATGCCGAGCTAGTGTCCTCTGCACTTGTTCTGGGTGGGCATTGGGTTTCCTCCATATGTTTCTGCATTTGCTTGTTTAGTGCAGATGTTATTAATTCAGGGATTTCTTTTTTTATTTCCAATCTGAGTTTTTCTATACGTTTTTGCAGCTCTTTATTTCAGAAGCCGCTGATTCATTGCTTTCAGCTGTGTGATTCCCAATTTGTTCTGTGTTAGTGTCCTCCGCAACTGTTACAGGTGGGCTTGGGTTCTGAGACTGCATTTTGTTCCTTCCCGTTGTAATTTTGTGTAGCACTGTCTTCTGACCTTTTTTGTAGATCTTTGTTGCAGTTATAACCTTAGCACGTACTGAAGTTCAGGTTCAGATGTACAAAGTTTGGATTTATCCAGCTGTGTATGGCTTGGGTCTGGCTGCTGTGCTCAGCTCCTTCCTGCTGCTGCCCTGGGGAGTGAACCTGTTGCACCCCTCTGGCAAGATGTTCTGCTCCTGGACTAGCGTGGTTCTATCCTCTACACTCTCTGCAGGGATTGCAACTATAGGGTTTCATCCCAGGCCCATATGCCCGGCCTGAGCTGAGCCTGGAGGCGAGAAGGTGGAGTAGGGGGGAGAGGCAACTCTCCCACACACTCACCAGGACTAGTCTACAACTGGGTCTGGGGGTCCCCGGAACGCAGCAGAAATTCCTACTGGTCAGGCAGGGTGGGGGCGGTGTTGTGGAGTGGTGGTGGGTGTCCCAAGGGGGTGGGAGAGGGTCTTACCCACGCTGCGCCTGGGCTGGGATCAGTAGTAGGTCCCACTGGCGCAGGGTAGCCGTAAGCTCTCCCACACACTCACTGGGCCTGGGCTAGGACTGGGTCTGGTGAAGCTACTTCTTAATCAAAGTCGAACAGTTGCCGTGGAAACCACAGTCCTGCAAAGTCTAAGTTGTGCATTGTCCAGTCCGTGACAGAAGACGATGTGCTGGTGTCTGCGGCAGTATGTTACATCACTGGTTCTCTATGGTCATCCTGATAGACAAAGGGGAGCAATAAATACCAGGCAGTATATGTAAATTTGTGGCATTTTGCTGTTTATTTGTTTGCAGCACTGCAACTGAACCTAGGCCTTTGCTATAGTCCTAGCCCTTTAGTATATTTTCATTTTTAGGAGAGGGTCTCCCTCAGCGGCCAAGATGCCCAGGCTGAGCTCAGGCTTGTGATCTTTCTGCCCCTGCCTCCTGGAGTGCTGGGATCAGAGGCCTGTGCCGCTGTGCCGCCAACTTAACTGTTGCGTTGGTCACGCCCCGTGGCCGTGCAGAACGGCCAATCCGGTAAGCCGCTGGAGAGCCCTCAGTGTGTCCATGGTTAGGCTCTCCTGGCCTGCTCCCTTCAGCGACTGCAGTGAAAGGAGGCACGAGGCCAGAAGCCTGGGGCTCTAACTTGGTGGTTCTCACACATTGGGCTTTCTAGATCCCTTTACCTTCTTCACCAGGAGCTCTAGAGAACTTGGGTCTATGTAGGATATATTATTTGTTTATTAGAAACTAAAACCAAAGCCCAGAAATCTAAAAAGTGTTTGTTGGTTGAAAATAATCAGTGTAAATGTGTTATGCGTGAATATAAGTACAATGGGAGAATTGTTTCTTTTTGCCAGAGTGGCACTCAAACTCACTGCAACCCCAGCCCTATTTTTTGTTTTTTAATTAAAACGTTGTTTTAAACCTTGAAACTGTTGTCAAATTGCTGTTGCCAAATTGCTCAAGCTGTTGCCAAATTGCTCAAGCTGGGCTCAGAGTCCTGGCCCTCTTACCTTAGCCTCCTAGAGTAATGGGATTATATGGATGTGTCAGCGCATCCAGCCAAAAAAAAAAGTGTTTTCTTAAAATAGATACAGTAAGAAAAGTGGCAGCATTGTATCATTTTTGTGAATCTTTTTAATAGTTGGCTTCATAGAAGACAGTTCTTTTTATCTACTTCTACATTTAATCTATGTTTGTTACATTTCATTTAGTCTCTGGAAGACTCCAGTGTGTACTCCTAAGAAAATAAAAATGGAAAAGCCAGTGTGCTCCTCATGTCCTATGAAGTACTGTGAATCATCCAGACCCCTGAACGTGCCCCGAGGACTGCTCCCTCCCCCAGATTTCCCGGACCCCTGATCTGGGTGGTGAGGTGCTAGGTGAAAAGGAGCCTGATGGTCGGCCTCATGGGTCATGTTCACTATGGCCTCCTTCCTTTCCTCTTCCTAGAGTTGTAGACCCAGCAGGCTGGCAAAAGGACTTAAAGCCATTCATCGGGGCCGCTGGCACAGCACAGTGGTGGAATGCATGCTCAGCATGTGAAAGGCCCTGGGCTTGAGCTCTACACACACACTCCAAAGGGCAGGGTCATCCGGGAGACAGGAAGCAAAGCCACAGTGGTCGGCACCTCGTACCCACTGGGGGGCAGCAACTAAAACAGAGCGGTAGTGAGGGTTGAGGCTGAGAAGTATTTTAGGGTCCTGCCAACACCATCGGTGTAGTCGCTCTGGAAACCGTCATAGCAGGACTTCAGAGCAGTAACCAGAGGGTTGTGTGTGCATGTATGTTCTCAGTAGCATTTTCATAATTGCTGAAGGTAGGAATACTATCGACTGGTGGTTATATGATACATTCTTACAATGGAATGTTGCTCACCAGGGAAGTAGTAAAGTATTGATCGTGCTACAATATGGACGAAACTTTAAAAAGTGCAAAGTTAACCACAATGCAGAAATTGTATATATTTTATGATCTTGCTTATGTAAAATGTTCATAATAAGCAAATCATAGAAATGGAAGGTGGACTAGCGATTGCCAGGGGCTGGGACTATGGACCGATAGAGTGAGTGTAAAAGTACTGTGAAGTGTGACAGCAGTTCACTTGCCGAGTACCGCTAGATAGTACACTTGGAGAAAAAGCATGCTAGCCAGTCCCTTGGGGCTGCTGCTCCTCCGGCGATGCTCTCCAGGGTGGCTGTTTTCATGTCCCTCCTCACTTGCTTCGTGCCCGTGAAGCCCTCTGCTCCGCCCAGCCTGTTTCTCTTGCTCGCTGAAGGCCTGCTCTGCTGAGGATCCGCTTTGTAGCTTCATAATCGTATTCCTTTCGCATTGCTGTCGCTTCTGAAAATCGACTGACTCCACCATGCGTTGTAGCTGTTAGGCCCTGGGCCGCGAAAGCCCACAGCAGTTCTTGGTTTTGCCAGCTTCTACAGCTCTGTATCACAAGTCCTACAGTCGGCCTTTGAATTCATGATTTCTTCCTCTCATGCCTGTTCTTAATTTAACTTTAACCACCCCTCATTCCGGACCTACAAAAACTTAAATGCAGACCTCCCAATGTCTGATCACTATCTTTTCTGGTTTTATTGCTCAGTAGTCTCACTACAGCAGCTTCTCAGACACATCCTCACCACTAACCCTATTGTGTCTGGGCGCGCACGCACGCACACACTCGCGCACACGCAGGAGGAAGTCTTAAGTGTATCCAACAAAAGAGATGTGTTAGTGATCTTCAAGACTTAGGATGACTGCAGCGTGCAAAGTAGAAGAGATTGATCATCGAGGTTCTCAGGAGCCCAGTAAGGGCTGACACTAGTAGAAAAATCATTTTACTCTAACCAGAAATACTGGTAAGTGAAGCTGTCCCGTGTGAACCTCTGTCGACAGTGGAGCACTTAATGACTACATATTTTCTAGGAAACTATGGTATGTTGTTTGTCTGAGATGCTGTGGAGTAGGGGCGGTACACTTCAGGGAAAGGGTTTGCAGGCTCAGTGGCCCTGTTGCAGCTTTGCACCTGTGGAGAACAGCCTTAAGGAAGGAGAACAGCTGTAGGCCTTGGGTAAGCACAGATGCTGCCGTTAGCTGTTGTTTTCGAATCCTAGCTGTCAAGGGCGTCCCTTCATCATTCTTGGGATTCGTCTGTCAAATAAGAGAGAACAAAAAGATAGGCTTTTTAGTGTTAGTTACCCTTCTGTTCTTGGCTAAATCACTAGTACTTATCTCTTGGTTTTTGTTTGTTTGGTTTTGGTGCTGGGTTTGAACCCAGGTCCTCCCACATGCTAAGCATATGTTCTACCACTGGGTGAGCCCCTCCTCTACTGTTTTGTATTATGAAAATCTCAACACCTATTACAAAAGCTCTGAGGTTTTGGGGGGAGGTTGCTAAGCCTTGGATGTCAAGTCTTGTTAAACAGTTTTGTATATCTTCCGTTCACTCAAAATCCTTCTGAATAAAATGGTAGTTTTGAAAGTTCAGAGTAAAAGAGTTCCATTAAAAATTTGTGGGGCTGGGGAGATAGCTTAGTAGAATAAGCACTTGCCTGGCAAGTGCAAGGGCCTGAGTTCAATCCCCAGTTCCGCCAAAAACAAAACAAGGCCAGGTCTCAAAACACCAGGGAAAAACAAACAAAACAACAAATACCTTTATAACATACTGTCATGAGGAGTGAGGTAAACTGTGTGATGAAAATCTAGTAGTGAAAAATTGTAAAGTCTAAAATACATATGCTTCTCTGTTTTAGAATGGCTTCATTTTTCATATTTGCTGTCATTTTCTTTGAGACTTACAGTGCTTGTTAAATTTCTGAACAGGTTACTAGTTTAAAAATTCTCAGTTATGATGTGCTGAATTTTTTCTTTTTTAGCAGAAACACACGGCTGCTGAGCAGCCTGTCTTTGCAGTTTCAAGGCACTCACCGCCCTTATCGGCACCTAGATGGGTCGACCCAAAGCTTGTGTGTCAGACGCCGGGTAGCAGCACCCTGGATGACTACATGCGATGGTAGTGGCTTCGCCGACTGGCTCGGGACTCGGGTGGTAAAGTAGGAACAAGGTGGACTTGGGCCAGATGGGGCTGGGGCTGGATCTTCGCAAATTGTTATGTTCTCAGCATTGTATCTTTCATCTGTAGAACATGAAGGGGAAAGGAGTCATGATAATATTATGTAGGATATTACAAAGGATGACAATCTTATGAGGGATTATTATGAATGTAGTATTGTCACATTTGTATTTACAGCCTGTAAATTTTCCAAGGAAGCAAGCCTTGATAATCTTGCATTTGCCCTGTGGATACCTGCTTGTGTCTAGGTGTCTGCCCAAAGCCTCCTGCAGTAGTGGGGCGGCTTCTGGGGTCTGTAACTGATTACTGTGGGTGTGGGTGCTACACCCGCCCTGGGCAGGGAATCTGCATTACAGTGTGAGGAGCGGGGAGGCTGCTAGCTGCCAGAGCTGCTCTCCGCTGTTGCTGTGAGCGGCTGCTCTGTGCCTTGTGCCGCTCTGCCTTGGAGCCAGCTGAGAACCGACTAAAACCTCCACTAACTTGAGCTAACTAAACCTTTCTTTCCTTAATTTTGGATGTCGGGTATGTTGTTTCAACAACCAGAGAAGAGTGAGACAGTGCCTTTCTTGGAGATACTTTATTTCTTTTATGTATTTAGTACAGGGTCTGCAGGGTCTCACTATACAGATCAGACTCGTAGTAATCCTCCTGTTCTCAGCCTCTCAGGCACTGGAATTATAGGCATGTGTCACCATGCCCAGTCTCAATTGCTGTCTCAGTGCACCCCAGGGGCAGGGCCAGCACAGCACATGGGGATCAAATCCCGGTCCTGTGCGCTGCCTAAATAGGTGTTTAGTCTGCTGACCTATCTGTCTGCCCAAACTATCTGGCTGACACTCTTAGAGATGTTTTAAAGGAGGGTCAGCCTTCCTGCAGGTGATAGTGAATGGATAAATACTGTCTTGAGAAGTTGATTGGAATGTGATTTTTTTTTTTTTGGAAGGTGCTAGGTGTATATAGGCCACATAGCTCTGAAGATATTCGAAGCTATAAGACCTGTACAGCAGCAAGGGATGAGTGAAGAGACTGGAGCGTTCAGCGCTCCTCAGGAGGCGAGGGGTGGTCCAGAGACGAAGGGGCAAGGGACATCATCTTCAGCTGGTGGCTCTATTTTTAGTATATGTTTAATGACTTAGGTGACCATTGAATTCCTTAATGTCTTTGGCTGTCTGTTTCCTTGCTATAGCGTTTATCTTCACTAGAGCTGGCCTTCTTCCATAGCAGTTTATTCTGTACAGTTTTGATACATATCGCCTTATTTTGCTCTGTGTGGAATTTTTTTTGAAATAGGGTCTCACTACACAGTTGGTGCTCATAGCGATCCTCTTGTCTCAGCCTCCCCAGTGCTGGGATTACAGGCGTGCCCCACCATGCTGTTTTGGTGGCTGGCTCAGCACACCTAGGGTTCCAGGGCTAGCACAGCGTGTGGTACTGGGGGTTGAACCTGGGTCCCTGCACTTGCCAGGCAGGTGCTTATGCCACTGAGCTATCTCCCCAGCCTCTATGTGGAATATTTTAAAGAATGATTGCTAACTAGGATAATGGTGTGGATGTTTGTCGTGATGTTAGGTTATGGTTAATTTTTACAGACACATCCTGTGAGCCAGGTGCTGCTGTTGACACAGAACAGACAAGGCCCTGGGTATGAGGCAGGGGAGAAGCAGGGCGCGATATGTGCTGAGCAGCGAACACGTTGGGCCAGACTCCTGCGGTGCGACTGGCTTTTGGGTACTTTTAGCAGGTTGTAGAGCATTGTTGTACGAAAACACTCCTAGAACCTTTGCTCAATCACAAGCAGGTCTGAACTTAGTCTTGTGAGTTAATGCTAACTCCATATGTTAAATACCATCTTATTTTAGTAGGAAGGATTTCTTGTCTGGTGACTCAAAATAACCTTCATGAAGAATTTCCTAAAATAAAATTTTCAATGGTGACGTAACTAGAATAAATCAATAACAGCTCTAGTGCTTTTAAGTTTGTCAGCCTTTTCTTTTCTAAACACATGAACGCTCGATTAGAATCTTGGTTTTTTGTTTTGTTTTTTTAATTTAGTATTTTGAATTAAGGATGAAACATTCTTTCCTAGTTTTAGGACTCCAGTGGTCAAGAATGACTTTCCCCCAGGATGCCCGTCATCGACCCCTTTCAGCCGATTCGCCTGCTTCCAGCAGCAGCAGCAGCAGCAGCAGCAAGCTCCCGTCACTCCTCTGCAGAACCTACAGGTTCGAAAGCTTTGCTTGTGATGGCCTGGGTTATGTGCAGTCAGACAGACAAATAGACCTTTTTCCAAAAGGTATCTAATTGTTAGGAAAGGTCTTAAGAATTTTCGATGAAAAAAAAAAAAAAAAAAAGAATTTTCGATGACCCCAGGAAGGTCCGCATGGCAAAGTGGAGCCTATCTGTAGTTACTGCAGAAGTTAAAGGCGCTGTTCTTCACAGGGCCTTGGGGTCCAGTCTGAAGAGTGGAAGAAAATTTCTCATATATAGCTGAGTTTACTTTTTGTTCTGCTTACCTTTTAAGTTCAGCTTTTTGTGACCAGCTCCATTTCACTTGTTCATTCATAAAGAATTCATTTGGAGGGGTATAGCTTCAAGATTCTCAAAGCAGCAAGAAGAGGAGCTGCTGTGGACTGAAAAATGAATACTTTGGTGAGGCAGCTGCATTACTATCTGAGAAAAACACTCGCCCCTCTTGACAGCAGTCCCTAGAATTGGTGTGCAGTGACAGAGACAGCCTGTAGGCAGCCGGTCTTAGCCTCACCACTAGCCAGCTGTGTCCCCTCACCCCAAGTTATATGGGCTCTGAGTGCCCATTTCCTTGTCCATAAAAGGGGCGAAAAGCTCCTATCACAAGATAGTTGTGAAGATTGTATTAGTTAATATATGTACCCTTAAGAGCATAGCACTTCATAAGTGTTGGCAGAAATTGTTATTTAAAACAGCAAAAGCTACTTGATGGGAATCGGAGAGGTGGTTATGATTCTGGGGAGGGAGGAAGAGGGAGTTGCTGCCTGCTGGGCGTGGAGTTTTGCTGATAATAAGAACTTGGGAGTGGATGGTGGTGGTTGCCCAGTGACATGGGCATCCCTGCCAGTGGATTGTACTTGAAAATGGTAAATTTCACATTATATGTATTTTGCCACAATTGAGAAAAACAAATTCCCAAGTTAGCTGATAGGTTACTTTTTCCTATGGAAAGAGATTTTGAGACACTATTATTATACAGTAAAAAGAGGTGATCTAGTTTAATTCAGAACAGACTAATTTAGCTGCTACTTGTGCCAGGCGCTGTTTAGGTCAGAATCTGGAAGACAAGTCTGAGGTGACAATAAGAGGAGCTTGGGGCACTTTCTAGAGGAGGCAGTGTCCAGAAGGGAAGGGCAGAGGCCAGGCAGGGCACGGCTGGGGTGTGGAGCAGGCTGGTGTCAGGGTTCTGATGGACCTGCGGGGCTCTACCCTAATGGGGACAGGAAGCCGTGGTCAAGATTAAAGCAAGAGAATAAAGGTATCTGCTTTGCATTTTGAAAGCTCTGGCCTCAGAGAAGAGAGTACTGGGGTAGGGGGTGATCCTGTGCAGAAAGTGGACCTTCCTGGTGTTGAATTATGATGAGCTACAACTTTTACTCCGAGAGCTATCAGCAGCTGGGGTAAGGAGGTCCCACTGCCTTCTTTCCCAAGCATTGTTGGGAGTTTAAGGAAGAACAGACTCAACAGCATCTTTTGACCCTAGAGGCTAGAAAAGTAGAATCCTGGACTGGACCTGTGCTTCAGTGACAGAGTGCTGGGGAAATGGAGAAGGAATGAGAGGGAGAGGGAGGGGACCCCGAAAATGAGGGTCAGTAGAAATACTTAACCTAATGTCTGTGCTGATGTGATCAGAGGAGTTGTAGAATGAAAGCCTGCGGGGCCTGGAGGGCGGTGTAGCAGCACTAGCCATCGTCCGCAAACTTTCCACTGACCCAGATTTTAACATTGTCAGCAGTCAGCACTAATTGAGCAAAGAAAGCTGCAAGTCCATATTAAATAAGCGGGATGGGCACAACCTTGTGTGATACGCTCCACACACAATTCTGTGGGTTTTTTAAAATATATTTTTAAATTGAGAAATAAATATGAGTGAGACAGTTTCACAGCTGATTAATAGGACAGTTTTGATAGTCAATATACTGTACATTGTTATCTTCTTAGTGGTTATCCATAATACAAGAAGCAGACAGGATATTCTGTCCAAACACTGTTAGTACACCTCTTTCTTCTCATTGAGTTAAGCAAAAGTAGCTGTAAATTTATCCTATTTTGTATACATAAATACAAAATTATCTTTCCTTTGTATCTTTTTTTTATTTTAATTTTTATTTGTCCTGTCAGAGGTGAATATTCTATTGGCATCTAAATACTATAGGTGTTTGAATTCAACTAAACAATCTAACACTGTCTAGCAGTCTATAGTATTAGTGGGTTATCCTCAGAAGTTATTGACTTGAGCCTTTTACAGCTCATCGTATTAACTGGATTTACTTTATATACCTCGTTTTTATACTTTTCTGCTGGATGGTTAAGACCAAGATATAGCAAGACCTATATCCACGCACAATTCTGAAAGAGGTAAATTCATCAAATTAGCCTCGTATCTGGGCGGCAGGCAGCCTTTGCTTTTGCTGAAGTTTTCTCTGGACTCCTGTAAGGCCTTTATGCTCTAATTATGAGAACTGGGGAGTGGGAGGGGGGAAGGAAGGAAGGGAAAAGAGGAAAATGAGAAAAGGATAAAAGGAAACAGCTTAGTAAAGAAGGAGGGAAAGGGGCTGAAGGGAGGGGAGGAAAACGGGGGAAGAGGAGTGCGCTGGGGGCTAGCCGGAGCTCTCAGCACCTCAGAAGTTGCTTCCTTCCGGGGACGATGCCAGAGTACAGTTCTCGCTATGCATTTCTGTATGTAAGAGCTGTAAGGAACAGAAAGAGAAAGGTTTGTGAGTTTGTGGGTGGATTTTAACTGTTAGTTTCTTAAATATTCTATCCATGTCCATGGTCTCCAGAGAAAGGAGACCTTAGAAGTTTATCTCTATGTTGATTTAATAAGTTTATTTCTTCAATTAAGTTTGCTGAGCAAGTTTTAAAAATAGTATTGCGTGTCTCAAAGACATTTGGGCACGCCTTGCTGTCTGAGCTGCAGACGGTTTACTGAGGCATATTCTTTGAACTTGTGTGTATTTTGGTTTTTAGATTGCAGGAACCTCAAATGAATGCATTTCGGTTAAAGGAAGAATTTACTCCATATTAAAGCAGATAGGCAGTGGAGGTTCAAGTAAGGTGAGTATCTCAATACTGAGGAAACAACAAACATTCAATGTTTTTTTGCTTCTAGAGGCCCAAGTAGTCCTAGAGTCAGAAAACATGGCCTTGTGCTCTGACCTCGTCCTCCCCCAAGGAGTGCAGGTCCTCTTGGGTCTCAGGTGGTTCCCGCACGGTCCGGCACCCCCAGACCTGCTCTCTGCTGACATTCCCGTTGGCCGGTATGGCAGGTGACCACTGCGTATGACCCCAGAAGACTGCTGCTCAAAGCGACAGAGCGTGGTGTGAGTTCCTAATGTGCCTAGGGTCGTTCAGCAGTTTCACTGATGGATTTGTTCAGTGTGTGTGTGTGTGTGTGTGTGTGTTTTCATTTCAAAACATGTAGTAAAAATGAGTTTTCCCTACTGAGATTCTCCCCTGAATTCATCTGAGGTCTAAAGGTATGTGGCTCCGCCTTTCCTAAAGGAGGGCCCGGCAGCACCCGCCTGTAAACCCTGCACCTGTACGGGCTGAGGCAGGAGCACCACAACATTGAGGCCAGCCTGGGCAACTTAGAGGGACCCTGTGTCAACGACCAGCGCCAAGACCGAGTCCTGCCTGGGCGTCCTCTCCTGAAGTGGCTGCTGGCCGACTGCTGCCGCTGCAGCGGCAGGGTTTGTGCTCTGGGGCTGGAGCTCACTCTCGTGTCAAGGGGCTTGCACACCACCGCGTGGCTCCGCACATACTGAGTTCCTTTCCCACTGCCTGTCTTTCTCCTCATGTCACATCATCATGGACAAATCAATTGTGGAGACTAGAAGTCAGATTTTAAAAAATGACAAATTCTGATGATTCCAATTCTGCATGGCTGGATGGCATCTTTATCACTATTTATAATATTTTCATTGTCTTAAATCTATTGCAGTCAGATCTGTTTTTTTACTTGGTCATCAAAACAAATGTTTTGAAGATTGCTATAACCTCCTTTTGAAAAAATGTCCTTATTTTTTCAGGTAGGGTCTTGCTGTGTAGTTGAGGCTGGCCTTGAAATCAGAGTGATCTTCCTGCCTTAGCCTCCCGAGTGCTGGGATTACAGGCGTGAGCCACCATGCCTGGCAGTGACCTCCACACATTGGCTAACTCTAGGGCTCAGCTTTGGTTTTCGGCTTGCGTACTGTTGCAGACGGTCAGCCTGCTCGCCCGCTGTCTCGGGTTGTTCTTGTGCTTGTTCCTCTGTTTCATTCTGTCATTCTGGGTTTTCCTCACGTGTCGGAGCCCAGTGGTGCATCACTTGGGACCAGGCCTGCCCTCCTTTCTCTGTCTCTAAACTCACACGTTCCCTTGATATTCTCCTAGTTCTGTGGCTTTAAATGTCATGTTTTACCGACATGTTGCAATCCTGCTTTGCCAGTCCGGCTTCTCCTTTGAATTCTAGACTCACACGTCAACCTTGACTGCTCAGCACCCTGTGGGGCTACGAGGCAATCAAGACCGTGTGTCCGGCTGTGGCCTGTGTTCACGGTCTGTCCTGTTGCAGAGAACGGCGACTCCATCCTAGCTGCTTGACCAAGGCCAGTTAATTGACTTTCCTTACTCGTTACGCTGGCAGCCGGTTGGCGGGTCTTGTTCTAGCTCCAAGGGCCTCCGGAGCCCTGTTTGTTGGCAGTGTTAGGACTGTGGCTGAAGTGGCTGTCATCTTTTCGCTCATTTTTTGCAGTGGCCTCTGGGAGTCGTGCTGACGCGGTCCCTGCCCCGGCAGCCTGCGTGAACGCAGCGCCTGCTTCTCCAGGCCCCCTCGCGTCTGCTGGAGGGGCTTCTCCGTCACCTCTTCCCTGGCTACCCCAGAACCACTCCCTTCCACTCGCCAATGTCACCATTGTCCTCTGCAGCATACCCTCTACTAGGCTCTCGATGACTGACTTGGTTTCTGTTCATGTCCCCCATGCTTGGGTGTGAGCTCCCCACAGAAAGGAGGTGTCCGCCTGGGTTGCACAGTGGTACTGGCCCCAGCGGCTAGGATGGAACCCAGGGTAGCACGTGGGCTGCAGCCCTCTGCTGAATGGATGAGCGCCTCCCTTTGCTGCTCTACTTTGCTAGGGTGGTAATGTGAAACAGGATGCTGGCTTCAGTTTAAGCTTTCGTATAATTTTCTAAGGCAGCTGACAATCAGTATGTGTTAAAGTCTCTTACTAACTTTTAAGAAAGGGCATGTAGGGGCCAGGGAGATAGCTCAGTGGTTTAAGTACCTCCCTGGCAAGCTCAGGGTTACAGAGTTTGATCCCCAGTGTCACCCCCCAAAAAAATTTTGAAAAGGCATTTATGGTAGGGCTATGGCTCAGTGCACGGCCCTGGGTTTAATTTCCAGCACTCAGAACAAGCAAACCCAAACAGAAACAGTAAGTTCGTATATTACCGTGTATATCAAGTCTTCAGTAAATCTTAATTTATTTTCTTTATTCCCATTCTTTTGTTTCCATTCCTTTTGAATTAAATTTCAGATACGGGAATAAAGGCATAATATATTTTACCAGTTTGTTTTAATTACCTGGTTTAATTGCTTTAGTAGAAGTTCATTGGCCAGTATTCATTGCTTGCCAGTCATGTGGCTGCACTTTAGTGATGCCAAGGTGCTGGCTGGCACTCGTTAGAGGAGTCTCCAGCAGGTGAGGAGCAGCCCTGACAGTTGTCACCTGGAGGCTGCTGCCGGTGTGCTCTTCCTTATGTCACGGGCCAACTGACGGCAGTTCTCATGGGCTCAGAGTTTCTGAGTCATTTTAAATTATCATTCAATTTCATTATTATGCTGGAGTTGAAAAAAGTCAGCATGCATTAGGGAAAGAGGGCAAGCTCGGGCAGCGCTCACCAGTGCTGTGTGTGTGGAAGCATGTAGAGCCACCGTGAAGCCAATAATACCTTACAGAGCATCAGTCCTGTCCGCGATGTTTCAAGTTGCACGTCCAGCAACTTGCACATGTTAGGAAATGTCTTTTTTTTTTTTTTTTTAACTTTTTAAATTTATTTTATTTTTTATTTGGAAATGTCTTTTATTTTGTCCTGCACGGCTTTCATGAGAGCAGGCATTTGCGAGGCCTTGCCGCAAAGGTCCAAGTAGAGGGCGCTCATCTCGGTTCATCTCTGACCCCAGGCAGTGGGAGCCACCACTGACAGTGTGCACAACCTTTGATGGGCTGGACGGCGGAGCAGCATGGAGCTGGAGTTTGAATGCTGGCATTTGAAAGTTTCACCTTGGGGTGGCCAAATAGCTCAGCAGATTAAAGAGCCTGCAAGCAGGCGCAGGGGTCTAGGATTCCATCCCCAGGCCTGCCATGTCAGCCCCGCCTCTGGAGACAGTGATTGAGACTGGGCATGGTGGCGCAGGCCTGTAATCCCAGCTCTTGGGAGGCTGTAAACAGGAGAATCACAACGAGTCCGATCTAGTAGTGAGACCCTGAATACCCTGTAGAACCTTCCCTAAAAACGGAAAAAAAAAGTTTCATGTCGTGTGCGCGCATGTGTGTGTATGTGTGTGTGTGTGTTTCTGCGATGCTTACATTTTTATCATGCAAAACATTTCATTTCATGACAGCGCCACCCCCGAGGCATACAAGTAAGACGTGGCCATGAGCTCAGGTTGTGGGCTTCCTGCCACACTTTCCCCAGCAGCACTCACAGCCCATCTAGGTTTCCAAGGCCGTCTTCCTTACACAAAGGACTGTGTGTTGCTTGGTGTCTTAGTTACTCTTCTCTCGTTGCTGGGACAAATACCCGACACTCACAATGAAGGAAGGAAAGGTTTATTTAGCTCACAGTTACCGGAGGCTTCAGTCCATACTCAGCTGGGTCCAACGCAGAGCAGCACAGAGAAGAAAACAACCTTTCATGGTGGTGGCAAAGAGCAAGAGTGCAAGGGAGAGATAGCCGCAGCTCAAGCAGCTAGCTTCTCTTCCCTCCTTACATTGTCATGCAAATTACCTGCCCCAGGGTAGGGGAAGTACTCACACCTATGGGTACCTCCCAGTATTTACCCACCTATGGATAATCCCAGCAGTACTAAAACTCATAATCCCAGCCTTGGATCACACATAATCCCAGTGGATCATGAGTTAACACAAACTCTAGAAGTCCTCACCCCATGACTGCATGAGACTTTGGGGGGACAACTAGACACAAACCATAACACTCGGGATTAGATTCCTGTTGTCTCTTTCATTCTTCTTTTCTGCTGCCTCTTAGCCAGTCTCTGTTCTATGTTCCACCTCCCTCTGATTTCCTGGATGTCTGGGTAAAACCTGTGACTTTTTTTTAGAGTATTTTGTACTTAAAAATAAGGCATTGTGGACCTTCTCTGTTAGTGCCACCTGCGTGCGCGTGCCCCTCACGTGTGCGTGCGGTTGTCCTCGCGCCTGCTGGGTGGTCCAGGTTGGAATTAGTCCTCACTTGGGTGTGTCACAATGGGGGCACGAATAACCTGCATATGCTGGCATTTTGTGGTTGAATTCTTGGTGTTCCGAAACATCCTTGCTGCACATTTAGACCATTTCATGGGGTGTCTTTTCCAACGATGTCTGTTCTACCAGTATGACCGCGTAGTCAGTGGTGCCCTGAGCCAGAGCAGCTGCAGGTGGACCTTCCAGGTCCTGCCAGGATAGTGAGGCGAGCACGCGGGCTCCGCTCTCTGGGTTTTTTGTGCAAACCGAGACCTCCTCATTACAGAGTGTGTTGATGGCTTACAGTTAATACATGTTTTTTAACATTTTCCCATCACATGAATGGACTCCTCAGCGGAGAAAACCCACCAGCTGGGAGGTGGCTTCTCCTCATGATAGCCTTGCTCATCGCTGCTGTCACTCTTCTGTGTCTTTATCTACGTTTCCTGGCTGAGGTGACTAAAGAGTGTCATAAACGTGCCAGATTAAAAATGCTCTTCTTGCCCTGGAGATGGCTCAGTGGAAAAAGCGCTTCCCTGGCAAGCGCAAGGGCCTGAGTTCAATTCCCGGTTTCACAAAAAAAAAAAAAAAAAGGCAGCTAAAAATGCTTTTCTTATATATTGATGGAGAAAACGTTCAGGTTTATGCTTTTGGGTTATTGAAAGTTCATTGTCATGCAGTTAGAGAGGGACTGTTTCTTATGGTGTTTTTTTCCTTCTATATTCAAACCGGGTACAGAAACTCGTAATTTTTCATGTCAGTATTTTCTCTAGAATTTTCTCAAGCTAAAATTACTTCTAATTCACCATACTAGTGGTACATACTGAACTTTTTTTCCTCTTTGTTGTGCTGTCTAGGTATTTCAGGTCCTGAATGAAAAGAAACAGATATATGCTATAAAATATGTGAACCTGGAAGAAGCAGACAATCAAACTATTGAAAGTTATCGGAATGAAATAGCTTATTTAAATAAACTACAACAACACAGCGATAAGATCATCCGACTGTATGATTAGTAAGCATCTCTTTTAATTAGTGGGGGGGGTTTTGAAGCAAGATTTTTTTATCTTCACAATAAAACAAAAGACGAAAAGTTAAACCTGGATCACGTGGCCCTTCCTTTTCTTACCTCCACCCAGTTCAGAATGCTTGCGTCTCTTAATAGCCAGCGTTCTCTTAGGTCTGCACTTGGGCCGAACACACTCGAGCCTCGGCACATGTGGCCTCCTTCCGGAAATCGGCCGAGTCTGCCCACCGCAGCCACTCTGCTTCCTGTCGTGGTGTCGCTCTCCTGGGCGTATAGGGAATCCTGGCCTTTCTTGTACCGTGGCACTTGGGGCTGATGCTTGCTATACTTCTTACTGTAAGTTCCCAGGTTTGGGGAATGTTCACCGTGCCCGCGGGTGTGCTACCAGTGAGGAATAGAGATCCTGGGCCAGAACTTTGCTGGGTCGTCTTGAGACAAGTTTTGCAGTGGTGTTCAGGCTGGCTCTGATCTCACAGCAATCCTCCTGCCTCAGCCTCACAGGTGCTGGGATTAGAGGCATCTGCTACCATGCCTTGCTTTTGAAATTTAAAAATAAAACTTTTTCTGCCATAATTTTAGGTGAATAGTTAGTAAATCTTGCTGTAACCTAATCGTTGATTGTTTTATTGCTTTTATATTTTAAACTGGCAGTGAAATCACAGATCAGCGTATCTACATGGTGATGGAATGTGGGAATATTGATCTTAATAGTTGGCTTAAGAAGAAAAAGTCCATCAATCCATGGGAACGCAAGAGTTACTGGAAAAATATGTTGGAGGCGGTACACACCATCCATCAACACGGTACTTGGAAATCTAGGTGGAAGGTTCAGCTATTTGTTAAGAGTGCCCCCTAGAGAACTATGCCTACGGCTCTCCTGGCACCTTTTAATAAAATGAACTAAATGATTAAAAGCGTTCTTAAGCCTGAAGGACCCCCCCAGTGCACCCATGCTGTTTCGTTTTCTGGCTTCTGAGCCACATCCCCGGCTCTTGACATTCTATTTTTTTGAGACAGCATCTTGTTAAGTTGCCCAGCCCCGTCTTGAACTTGCACTCTCCCTCAGTCTGCAGAGCACCAGGACTCCAGTTGTGCGCCACTGTGCGCAACAAGCCATGTCTTAGAGCACTGTTAGCTCAAAGGGTACAGGACGCAAACTCAGGGTCCTGTGTGCGTAATGGACATGCACCTTACCGGGTACGTTGGTGTGATCCGTGGTCTTTATCTCCAGGCGCTCCTGTTGTCAGCCTGAGACCTTCGGGTTCATCTAGGCCCCCTGAGGATGCGAGATGTTTACTTCCCACATTCCCCAGTTGATTTTGTGTCATGTGTCCTACCTGGGAGTTGGTGGTGGTGCTCATTCTTTCAACAGACCCTTGTTCTTGGTTTTTAGAGCTTTAAAAGGTTCTCTGTCTATTAAAACCATGGTTAACCCAAAAGAATGATTTAAGTCTTCAGTTTCTCTTTCTGTAGTTAAAGGTCACGTACTCAGCTCTTACCACCTGGCGCAGCTGTAACTGCCATTCTCTCTGCTGGGCAGTGAGCAGCTGTGGGTAGACTCTAAGTCTAGCCTCATGGCTTTGAGTCTTGATGTCATGTAATCCTTGTGTCCTTGAATGATATACTTAAACTCAGTTTCCTAGCTTTAAAATGGATATAATAAAGCTGGGCTTGGTGGCGCACGCTGTAATCCTAGCACTTAGGAGGCTGAGGCAGGAGGATCACTGAGTTTGAAGTGGAAGGCCAGCCTGAATGGCTTAGGGAAACCCTGCTCAAAAGACAATTATACATAAATAGAATAAAATAGGATGTATATAATTTGCTCATCTCAGTGTTGTTATGGTGACTAAGTAATCCATTATGACAGCCTGGTGACCGGCTCCTGGGAGTGCTGCGAAGGTGTGGCATAGCTACTTGAGTTGACAGCCCCATGTGGCCTCTAGATTGTGATGTGTGGCAGTCTGCAGGGTTTTCCACACAGTGTGCTCTTACTTGCAGGCATTGTTCACAGCGACCTGAAGCCTGCCAACTTCCTGATAGTTGATGGGATGCTGAAGCTGATCGATTTTGGCATCGCAAACCAGATGCAGCCTGATACCACAAGCATTATTAAAGACTCTCAGGTAGGACTCGGAGGGCCAGTCAGGCGCAGCACTGCCACCGAGCTCAGTTCCTTTGCATTCAGGGCTCAGCCCGTGGGTGTGACATTTGCACCCACCTTGTGATGTGCAAGGCTTGAGATCCTAGAAGAACAGATCCTCTAACTATAAAAAAGATTCAAAACTGTGGCAGTGCAATTTCAAATAGAAGGCCAGCACCGTGCAGAAACATAGCCAGCAGCTCTGCACGATTGTCTACACCCAAGACCGAGCAGCAGCGGAGCCTGCCTGCCTTGGGAGCCCCCTAGTCATGGTCTGAAAGTGCCCCAACATCTGGCTTGGAGCTCCTAGGTAGCAAGCAGAGGGAACTGCAGTGTCATTGTCACGTTTTCCCCCACTGTCCATGAAATAAGATTATTCTTCCAGAGAAGAGAGTTTTCCTATCACTTCAGTGGGGGTAGGGGGAATTTAAGAAGGGTCTTTGTGCTGGAAATGTCATCACGAAGACCGTGCTCAGCAAGCATTCTGACGGCGGGATACGCAGTAGCAACCTAGAGAAGTTGCCGTAAGCGCTGAAGCAGTGGTGCTGACGTACACTGAAAGGTGATCTTGACTGGCCCTGAGGGGTACGTTCCGCGTAGCAGATGTCTGTTAGGGTGCAAAACCAGGCTTTGATAAGAGCGTGTCCTTGGAACCATTTGATTTGGATGTCTTTCAGCATCCAAAGTGTGGCTGGACTTTGTTGTTACAGGGGGAAAAAGTTGAGCCTTTTTTTTTTTTTTTCTTAACAGAGAACAGAAGAATAATAGAGCTGGGGCGATAGCTCAGTAGCATAGGTGGCTGCCTGACAAGCACAAGGTCCTGAGTTTGATCCCCAGTACCATCAAAAAGAAAAAATAGTAGATAAGGCATTAGAAACGATACACAAAGTAAAGCATAAGATGATAGCTATTCAACAGTGGGTGATACATTGCACCTTGCTCAGATTACAGATACAAACGTATATAATTGGTAAGAGTAAAATTTTAAGCATTAACTGCTGCCTTCAAAAAACTGATGGAAATCAGTAGTACCATCATCTTAGCGTTCCTGCGTATTTTTTCCCCTTTTTTTTCCTATCTTTTCTTCTTTCCCTCGTCCCAATTGTTTATTCCTTATGTTCAATTTCTGTTGCACCTACTTCAGCACAGAAATGAGAGAGAATCATTCCCTCAAAGTGTATGGCCATTAATACAATTTTACATTTATTTATTTAGTGGTACTAGGACTTGAACTGGGGACCTTGCCTTGCCAGGCAGGCAGTGAAGCCGCTGAGCTATATCCCCAGCCCTAGAATGTTAGCCTTGACAGTGGAAGGCAGATAATATCATTTGTCCTCCATAATTATGCAAACAGCGCAGCATTCTGGGAGCAGTCCAGTCGGTCACAGTCGGAAGTCTATCTCCAGCATGGAAATGAGAGAGAATCATTCCCTCAAAGTGTATGGCCATTAATACAATTTTATATTTATTTATTTATTATTTATTTAGTGGTACCAGGACTTGAACTGGGGACCTTGCCCTGGCCAGGCAGGCACTTAAGCCACTGAGCTATATCCCCAGCCCTAGAATGTTAGCCTTGACAGTGCTCAGATTACAGACACAAATATATACAATTGCTAAGAGTAAAAATTTTAGGCATTAAAATTTTTCACAGTCCGTTAATGTACAGAAGCCTGGCCACCTTAGGCCGGTGGTGACGGGCTTTCATTGACACGAGGTTATTCTTTAATAATATTCTTCTCCTATGTTGATCCCTTGCTGTGCTCCTCCTCTCAGACCAGCTCCCCCTGTTCCAGCCGCAGTCTGATGTGCGGCTCTGCAGTGTTGGCATCTATCACTGAAAGCTGTAATGACGCTGGTTTGCAGGAATCTGATGTGTATAACTGGCTCATTGATCTGCGTTTTCTGTTCCTGGGCACATAGGTTGGCACCGTTAATTACATGCCACCAGAAGCCATCAAAGACATGTCATCCTCAAGGGAGAACGGGAGATCCAAGTCCAAGGTATTGTGAATATAGTCTAATTGGCACCTGTAAAGTCCGCCCACAAACGTGAGTTCTAAAGTTTCACAGTCCGTTACTGTACAGAAGCCTGGCCGCCTTAGGCTGGTGGTGACGGGCTTTCATTGATGCGAGGTTATTCTTTAATAATATTCTTCTCCTATGTTGATCGCTTGCTGTGCTCCTACGAGCAGTTCACCTAAGCCTGGTGCAGTGGTTCACACCTGTCATCACAGCATGCAGGGCCCGGGGCTCCGTGCCGCAGCACCTGCCCAGCAAGCATAGAGGGCCTCGGTTTGATTCCCAGTTCCAAAAAAAAGAAAACCAGAATCACAACACAGAGGCTGAAGTAAGAGTCCCAAGTTCAAGCCCTCCGTGAAGAACTTAACCACCTAGCAAGACCTTGTCTCAAAATTTTAAGAAATGCACAAAGGAATGGGCATGTGGCTCAGCGTGAAGGCCCTGGGTTCAATCCCCAGTATTGCCAAAAAGAGGGAGGGGGCATAACTGGGATATTTTTTGAGTTTAAAATGACAGAGGGAGACAATACCAAATTAGCTCTTGAATACCTGAAAATAACAGTGTATAATGATATCAAATAACAGTTTGATATCCTTTGAAGGATTGTTTCCTACTTCCATTTCTTTTCATTTATTATTTGTTTATAAGTTGAATGCTTGAGCAGATGACTGGAATATATACATTTTTCCTGTCCTTCCTCTTCTTTATACTGTATTTTGCCACCTTTGTGAGCTCTGTGGTGGCCCTTGTCAGGGGGCGGTTGCATGCCGTGCTGCTGTCTCTGTCGCACTGGACCAATCGGCTGTGAACCTGCAGCGTCCCAGGGACCCTGTGGCTGCCATTGCGTGCAGAGGCGCCTGCTGCATGGAGAGGCGCCTGCCGCGGCGTGCCGTTATGTGCTTGCCTTGCTCTCTCCCTCAGTTGGCAGGTCCTCAGCTCTTCTTTTCCCAGGGCTTCTTCCTTATCCGTTGACTCGCATATTCCCTCTGTGCTTTTAGCTATGTCCAGTGCTGTCTCTGCCGAGAAGGCCCTTGAGTATTTCTCTAGAGCGGGCTTAGCACAAATGCACCTTCTGAACTGGTCTTTCTCATGTTGATACTTTATTTCTTCATCTATTTTGAGGAATAGCTTCGCAGAGCAGGTTAATCAGGACTAGAAGTTACTTGCTTTTGGGTGTGAAATCCTTCCCGCGAGCTCCTCTGGCTTTCAGGTTTGCGCTGAGAAGTTGGCCATGATTCTGGGTGCCTTGCCTCTAAGTGACCGCCCTCTAACCCCTCCTTCACTATCCTGTTGTTTATTGGCTTTTCTGTATATCTAAATTTAATGAGGGTACACCTTGGTGAGCCTTTGTCGTAAGTGTGTGGTGGTGGTTATGGTTTGTGCCTAGATGTCTCCCAAAGCCTTGGGCAGGCTCGGGGGCGGGTTCTAGAGTTTGCAATGAATTCATGATACAGTGCTGAGATTACGGGTGAAGTGTTACACCCGGAGTGGGTGGCCCACACACAGTGTGAGGCAGGGAGAGAGGCTTGCCCCCTGCCTCTGCCCATCCCTTTTGCTCTCCTTGCTCTTGTGGTTCTCTGCTGCTGTGGGCTGCTGCCCTGGTGCCGTGTGCCACTCTGCCTTGTAGCAGTCGAGTATGCACTGGAACCTCCACAAACTGAGCTAAAGAAACCTCCCCTCCCTTAACTTTGGGTGTCAGGTATTTCATCCCAGCAATCAGCAAAAAGTAACGAAGACAGTGTGCAGTGAGCACCCCTCACTCGTATTCTTAACCCTGTTCTTATATTCGGGAAGTTGTCTTGCAAGCATCTTAGTGAGTCCACCTGTGCTCTCGTCCTGTGTCTGCTGAGCTTGAGACTGGGCTTCCTGTGGTCACCTTGTTGCTTCTGGGTGTTCTCTCTCTCTCTCTCTCTCTCTCTCTCTCTCTCTCTCTCTCTCGTTTGTATTTCCTTTGTGGCTTCTTCGCACTCTTTATCATACCGTTTTGTCCTCAGAGCCAGGCACACTGTCTTCACGTTGGTCACTTCTGCAGCGTGTGAACTCTCCACTGCTTTTTATTTGAGGTGCTTCCACCTGATAGGTTTTCGAGGGCTCTGTCTCCATGCTGAATTTGTTCCAGTTTTGCGCTGCTGCCTAGCTCCTCCAGTTACTGACCTGTTCCCCCAAGTTACCGCAGAAATAGTGAGTGGTTCCCATGAACTTGGGATTTGGGCTCTCACTGAAGTCATGAAGTTTCTTTATCCCTTCTAGGAACTTTTCATCGATTTCTGCTAGCAGATACTTGTGTTCTTCCTGGCTCTGCCTTGTGAGAGTCGGGGGTTGGGAGAGCTTCTGTTTTGTTGTGTCTCCCTTCCTCTACTAGTATCTGTGTTTGTTTATATATATTATGTATAATATATATTTTACATATTTAAAAACATTAAATGGGACTCCCTGTTTTCTCCTTTTGGGGGCAGGGCAGGTTGAGAGCCCAGGACTTATGCGGAGTTGTTTAGGTGGCTGTTTCCTCCGTAATTTTGGCTTTGCACACCCCCTACCGGTGTGGGCTCCTGCTGTTACTCTAAGTGATGCCAACTGTGCCTACGCTTTGCCGAATGCAGTGCTTCTGTGTGTGACCGCGTCCAGAGTGCGGCCCTTCCGCGGACGGCCTTGCAGGCCCTCCCCCGCCCTTGGCCTGTGCTGCAAGCGCCGGCCCACCCGGCAGTTTGCTATTGGTGGGGGCTCTTCAGGCGCAGAAGGGATGGGGGACGTGGGGGAGGGGCAGGGGCTGGATGAGTGCTATTAGCGGGAAGCCCGAAGGGCAGATTTGAGGTAGCCGAGAACCTGGATGTGTGGGTGGATTTTATCGGAGCTCCTTTAGTGGAGTGGAAGATTCTGCGTGAGCGTTGTCAGGGGACGCTTGGTGGGGGCCGGGGGAGCTGGGGGGCAGGGCGCCCACTTCCTGTTGAGGAAAGCTCTGTGGTTCCCAGAACTGGCTAGCGGGGAGTACAGCAAGCTGGGCAAGCTGTGGAGGAGCCGAGGCCAGCTGGGAAGGACGGAGGGGCTGCACCAGGGCAGAGAGGAGTGGGTGTGGGGGACTGAAAACCTTGGCGGGGAGGGGACTTCGCGGGTTTGGAAAAAACGTTGCTGACGCGGTGTTGCGGCGAAGAAGAGTGAGAGGACCTAGACCCCCGCTAGTCCAGACCCCCCGACAGAACACGTGCACAGCAGTGGCACCCTGGTACACACATGAACCCACGAGAGAACATGACATTGCTCATGTGACTCAAGAAGTATGCAGGAACTTAAACCCCTGCCATGTCCCCGGGAACACTGGATATTCTGATGAGATGTTTCATGTGCGCTTCCCAAAGTGCCCCTCGGCCAGCGGTAGGGGCGCCCCCATCTTGGGTCCCCTCAACGCAGAACTAAGTATGCGCAGGCACCGTGTCCAGTCTGACCCAGCCGAGCGCTTGGGTGCAGCCCTTGCTGCCCTCGCCCTGGCCGCGGTGGTGGCTTCAACTGGCCCGCAGCAGTAAGGCGAGCCCGCATGGTGGTGTCCTGGGGCGGGTTGAGGATTCGCCTCCCCTGGCCCTGTGGGGTCTCCCTTCAGCAGGGGGACACGCACCAGCATGGGCCTGCTGTCCTGTGCACTCAGGCTGACCTGGCCGCCCTCGGTGGGAAGGCTCGGGGCCCAGGCCCGGCCTTGCAGCAACTCTCCAGCGCCTGCGGCATCCCTGAATCCTTCCCTCCCACACCCGGAGCGGGAGGCAGCCCCGGGGCCGTGCTGGGACCCGGTTCCCTTCCTGCCGCAGCCTCCAGCGGAGGGTGGCAGCAGTGCGGGCCCTCTGTGGCGCGGTCCTCCGTCGTTCTGCTCTGCCTGGAGGCTCCCAGTCCCTTCTCTTCCGCTCTCTCCACGCTGGTTCTGTAGACTCCGGACAGGGCCCTGGCGGGGCTGCCAGCTGGCACCTGTGGCTCCCCCATTTTGTCTCCAGTGAAGCTCATTTCTAGTAAAATAACCAAATCCGTGGAAACTAGAAAAATAGTGTTTGTCTTGTATGTTTGTTTTTGTTTTTCTGTCCTTTTTTGTGAGACAGGGTCTCCCTGTGCAGCCCAGGCTGGTCCCAAACTCGCCCCAGTCCTGTGCCACAGCCGCCCAGGAGTGCTAGGATTACAGGCCTGCGCCACCACACCCAGCTACCATGTAAACTTATGCAATGAGTGCAATTTAATTGTAATTTTATGATTGTGGTTTTTAATAATGATGTGCTAACATTTTTTATTGAAGAGCATCAACTTGTGTTGTTTTTTGCTTTCTTTCCAACTTAGATAAGCCCCAAAAGTGATGTCTGGTCCCTGGGATGCATTTTGTACTACATGACATACGGAAAAACACCATTTCAGCATATCGTTAATCAGATTTCCAAGTTACATGCTATAATTGATCCTAATCATGAAATTGAATTTCCTGATATTCCAGAGAAAGATCTTCAAGATGTGTTAAAGGTAATATTAACAGAATATTGATATGAAAAGATAATATTTTATGTAGTTTGCTTAAAAGAAATAGCTGGCACTGGGAACAGTGTAGCTGGCCTACTTATAGCTGGTTTGTTGGACTGAGGATGGCCTTTGCATGTTTACTTTGAAGATGTTTTAATGCGGAGTGCTGGGGATTCTGCGAAACATTGTTTAGGGGTCTAGAGAGAAGCTTCTTTTTTCTTTTTAGGGAAGGGTTTACAGGATGTGCAGGGTCTCACTACTAGATCGGACTTGTAGTGATCTGTCCGTTTACAGCCTCCCAAGAGCTGGGATTACAGGCTTGTGCCATCACGCCCAGTCTCAATTGCTGTCTCAGCGTGCCCTGGGGGGGCAGGGTCAGCACAACAGACCTGGGGATCGAACCCCTGGTCCCTGGGCCTGCTTGCAGGCACTTTAATCCACTGAGCTATTTGGCCGCCCAAGAGTAGCTTCTGTGATGCGGTGAAATCTGGAAAATATTTCATCAGTGCCTCATAAAATTCTTTTTCAGTGTTGTTTAATAAGGGACCCTAAGCAGAGGATATCTGTTCCTGATCTTCTGGCACACCCGTATGTTCAAATTCAAAGTTATCCAGGTACGACTTTAAAAATCATTCATTACTAGATAGAACACAGACACAAGTGGCCTGTGGGTTGCAGCAGGTGCTAGGATACAGCCAGTGAAGTAGGTCAGCCCTTCGTCACCTGTTCCCTTTTGCCTGCGCTTAGCTGAGGCGTGGCGCTGTGGTCAGCGATGAATTGCAGGACGCCCATTATTGGGCTGGTACGTGATGGTACTCTGAATGGTTTTGCATGCTCCTGTGTGGTTCTCCCACGTGATGTTGATTATATTTACCTTCTAGGTAACCAGATGGCTAAGGGAACCACTGATGAAATGAAACATGTTTTGGGCCAGCTGGTTGGTCTGAATTCTCCTAACTCCATTTTGAAAGTTGCTAAAGTAAGTGCGTCTCTTCTCTACATTCATCTTCAATAAAGCTGTTTATACTTCAGGGAGTTAAGAGACTAAGTGGAAAGCTCACTGAAAACTTGGGCAATCACCACATTAGTTACATTTCTGCACTTAGACACCTGATATGTGCTTTTTGGTAAGTATAGACTTGTTTGATTTGTATTTATATTTTGCATAGAGCATATTCCACAGTGGGTTCTTGTAGAAGGTACCTCCAAGAGATTGCTTTCCTACCTCAGCTGGAATAAATTTAGCATAGGAATCTATCTTCTAAACTACCCTGTCTCAGTACGATTCTTAACATTGATTTTGAATTTCTTCTGTTAAGCCATAGAAAAGTTACAGTATCAGTAATATATAATGGATTCTGTGGAGCAGTCCATAGCAGTCACACAGTTCCCGAAGCACACGGCTCAAGCTTTGCAGCCTCCCAATTCCTGTTTATGTTTATGTGTAAGTTTCCGATTTCCATGTCACCAGACACCTGCTCACTTCCAGGACCTTATGAATGCTTAGTGACCAGTTAGTCTAGTTATCAAGCGGTTGCTGTACATTTCAGTTACAACATCATAGACTTGTGGGAGCTTGAACGGATGACACTATTAGCTGTCTGGGCAGGAGTAAAGTTGATTTAAGTTGCTGAGAGCCTGGGACACCTCTCCACTGGGACTCCTTAGATGGTCACAACTATATGTGCGTCCAGATGCTAGGAGGTGTGCTTCTAAACGTTTGTCACCATGCTGGTGGCCAGTCCATGGCTATAGCAGTTAAAGTTCGGCAGAGTCTTTGCTAACTGCTCTGTGCTTCTTATTTTCATGTTTTAAATCCATACTAGTATATTCAGAACTTTTATAAAGTTAGAGTGGATTACTCGCACATATCACTGAAGTTGTGTATCATTGAGAACCAAGATACCTGTCTTCATAAGGTAGTTGTTAGGTGAGCTTTCAGTCTTCTTGATAGTCTTAAAAACACAAGCTTTAGGGCCGGGGGATGTAACTCAGTGGCACAGGGCCTGCCAACAAGCACAAGGCCCAGAATTCAATTCCTGGTACCAAGAAAAGAAAATAGTGGGGGGAGAAAAATAAGACCCCAGAAATACCACAGACTTTAATGCGCATTTGACCACTCTATCCATGGGTTCTACATCCAGGGATTTAACCAACCCCACATCAAAAATAATCCAAATTTTAAAAAGCATTGCTTATGTACTAGCAGTCTGTCTCACATTAACATTGTATCATGTATTACAAGTAATCTAGAGGTGATGCAAAGGGCGTGAGAGGTTGGTGAGTGTGTGTGAATACTGTACCACATCTTGTAAGGATCTGGCGCTTCTGCAGATGTGGTGTCCCAGGAGTGGGCCCTGGAGCCAGGTCCTCATGGACACAGGATGACTACGGCTCATCAGACATGCCTAATGCTACTTCATCCCTGTAGTGCTGGGAAGCTACCCAAGGCCCCTAGCCATTAGGCTATGTCTGCTGCCCTTTCTTAGTTTTTGTTTTGAGCCGGGGTCTTACTAAGTCGCCCAGGTGGGACTCAAACTTCCAGACCTCCTCCCTTAGCCTTTGGAAGCACTAGGATTACAAGCTTGTGCCTCTGTTCCCAGTTTATAATCCTTTCTATTGTCTTAAGTTCATTGGTTAAATGTCATCTGAAAATACATAGTTTTCTAGTTTACATATAGGAATTTAAGAATAAATGTCAGAAGAAGTAAAGGTTCAAGAAAACCTCGAAAAAAGAAAACCTTTAAGCCAGGCATGTGGTGCATGCCTGAAATCCCAGCACTGAGGACGAGGCTGAAGCAGGAGTATCTTCATGAGTTATGAGACCAGCTGGGGCTACAAAATAAGCTCAAGGCCAGCCTGAGCCGTGTAGTGAGACCCTGACTCAAAAAAAAAAAAAAAAAAAAGACAAAGCCTTGAAGACTTACACATATGCTTATTAGCTATATTTTATTTCTTTTACCTCATTCTTAAGGCCAACTAGACATTTAAAACTCTTCTCTTGTCATTTCTACAACAATTTCCTAACTATACAAATAAGAAATAAATTTATTATATTTAGAATATGTGAAATTACCTTAACTAAATTAATAATGCATTGAATTCAAAATTACAAAGGACACATGTTTTTAATTTCAGACTTTATATGCCCGCTATAGTAGTGATGAAAGTCATGATTCCTCCTCATCCAAGACTTCTGAAAAAAGATGGGAAAAGAAATGACGCACTGAGCCCCCACCTGTCAGATAACACTATGAGCGGATGCAGGCCTGTCGCCCTCTGGGCTGTCTGTGGAAATCTACGCATTGAGCAGCTGCCTTCAGAACGTTACCAGCAATAATGCAGTACCTCTCCTCAGCAGAACACTGTAAAGAGCCACCAGTGGCACTGTAGATACTACGTGGTCGCGTTGCTTGCTGTTGTGTGCTTCCCTGTGACGCTGATCTGTTTGATAGCATCCCTACTTGGAGGAGCGGGTGGGTGACGGAAATACATTCTGAGAAACTGTGTCAATAAAGGTTTATAGCTTAAAGTAACTTCAAAGGGGCCCCGTTGTTTTCTTCAGGCAAGTGTTTTGCTGGCAAGGTTACGAATTTTTAATAAATGAAAACTGTCTTAAGGGAGAGTGCAGAGACCTTTGTAAATGGAGTTTGAAAACCAAACACCTGAAGGGTTGAGTCCCGGGTTTCCTCGGGGAGGATGGGACACAGTTGTGCAGCGTGTGCCTTGGGCTCGCCTTGCCTGCGTGGTGCCCGAGTGTTGGCGGCTGTGTGTGGTAGAGGGCTGGGCTCCGCCTGCCCTCCTTGCCTGCGGTTCGCAGCTGGGTGATTGGAAATGTGCCTCGGCGGGTTTTGTCTGTCCAGTGCTGCCCGGGGTGGAACCCGAGGCCTGGGGCCAGCTGGGCATGTGCACCCCGGAGGCATCCTGGCCACCCCGAGGCTCTTGACGGAGTCCCGGAGGGAAGGTGCAGACGAAGGCCCCGCACTGAGCAGCCCGCCTTCTGCAAGCCAGACCCCGCGTGAAGGGCTGCAGTCCACGCTACTGCCTTCCGGTCGTGCGTCCATGTTCTGGAACAAATTTGTGTTGAAGGTGTTGCATCCCCAAGAATTTCACCGTGTATGTGTAAATACTCGAAACTCAGAAGAAATCTGAAACACTTACAGTCCCAGTTATGGCTAGTGAGGGACACGTCAGCCTGTACAGTGGTCCCTCTAGCTCACCGTTCAACTTTTGCACTCACTGCTTTGTGGGTTTTCAAAAAATACTTGCATAAATTATTTATCGCGGAATTTTCGCTATATCACGGAATTTCGTGGTAGCCCACAGTAGTGTGTAGGTACATGGCATACTTTTACGGATTTAAATGATTTTTGCCTAAAAATTTTAAATACATGAAAATATTTAAAATGTTAATTCTAACATTAAAAGTATTAAATTATATAAAATACACTTTATAGTGTTTCTTTAGCGGATCAGTACATACTGACCCATACAATACATTTATGTTAAAATTACATAGATTTATGGGGTTAGAAAATAGTTAACATTGGAATTGTGTTTAGTGGTGTGGGAAAGGCTTATGAGAGCGTGGGAAGAGTTTATAAAGCCTTAAAATATAAATACCAAAATTGGTTTAACGTCGTTACTTCGATGGTTTTCACTTAGTGCAGGGGTGTCTGGAACGTGCCCTCCGTGACAAGTGAGGGACCACGGTATTATCTTGTGGCATTCTTTTTTCTTGATTTCAGTTTAAACTGATTTTGATAGACTTTCATTTTTGTATTTTAGGGAAGGGTCTACAGGGTGTTCAGGGTCTCACTACTAGATCGGACTCGTAGTGATCTGCCTCTTTCCGCCTCCCGAGAGCTGGGATTACAGGCACGCGCCACCAGGCCAGTCTGCATCGCGGTCTCAGTGCCCCCAGTTCGGGGACCGAACCCCAGCCCCAAGCCGGCTTGCAGGCGCGCAGTCTGCTGAGCTGTCTGGCCGGCCCTGTGATAGACTTTTATTTTTATTTATTTATTTTTTATTTTTTGGCGGAACCGGGGATTGAACTCAGATCCTTGCATTTGCCAGTCAAGTGCTTATCCTACTGAGCCATCTCCCCGGCCCCCGTGATAGACTTTTAAAGCAGCCTTAGCTTCCCAGCTAAGCGGGGCGTCAGACAGTTGCCGGTGTCTTGCTTCCACCCACGGACTCGCTCCCCGATGCCCGCCCTCCAACGCCCGCTTGTCGTGGCTCGTTATACAACGTCAGAGCACCCTGGAGTCACGCCAGCGTCCTCGCAGTACTGTACGTTCTGAGGGTGTGAACTTATTTAACATCTATAGTGGGGATAGAAAATCACAGTGAGTATTTTTCTTTTATTTAAAAAATGTATTCTAGGGCTGGCGAGATGGCTCAGTGGTCTAAAGCACCTACTTGGAACAAGCTTGACAAAGCACAGGGACCGCGGTTCGATCCCCCAGCACCACATGCCAGCCAGCCCCGCCCCCTGGTGGGCTGAGCTGGCCACACACACACACACACACACACACACACACAATAAATAAATAAATGTTTAAAAAAAAAATAAAAAAATAAAAAAAATAAAAAATAAAAAATGTATTCTAGGGCCGGGGAGATGACTCAGTACAATAAGCGCCTGCCTGTCAAGCGTAAGGTCTTGCGTTCAATCCCCAGTACTGCAAAAATAATAAAAAGTAAAAAATGTATCTAGTAAAAGACGTTGCCACTCGGGCCCCTCCCAGCGCTGTTCTTCACTTCGAGTACATGCAGCCCGTGTGCTTGGCTACTTCAAAAGCGCTTCTGGAGGGCCACGTGCATGAGTGTCTTTAGCTGCACTGTGGTGGCTTCATCCATGTCCTCAGTGGACTGCCCTAGTCATTTCTCCTGTGGGAAGGGCAAGGTGGATGAGGCCGCGCGTTTGTACAATCCGCCTCTGTGGAACGGCGTTTGGCAACAGCATGCACTGCATTTCTTCCATTCACAGTTCAAGACACTCAAGGTGTCACTTAATACAAGTGGCAGGAACAGTGGGCGAAGTGCCTTTGTTTTGAATTTTTTTAAAAATTTTATTCATAAAAAAATTATTCATTTATTTGGTACATCGTCTCACTACACAGCTCGGACTCGTAGAGATCTTCCTGTCTCAGCCTCCCCAGCACTGGGATTGCAGGCATGTGCCACCATGCTCGGTATCAGGACCAGCTCAGCGGCCCCGGGGACCGCGCGGCATGCGGTACCCAGTATCGAACGCTGGTCCTTGTGTTTGGCAGACAGGCGCTTAGACCGCCGAGGTATCGGTAGGTGTCTTTGAAGCAGGATATTTTAAGGGGAATGAGTGGCAATCTTTAATAAAGTTTTACAATTTAGACACTCACCATCGTTTCCGACCACCCTCTGTTTGGTGATATCAGGACGGCTGCGGTGCCCCAAGAGCACGCAGTGCGTCGTGCGCCTGCGCTTCTCCTTCCCCCACCCGGCCCTACGGGGCTTTACGTTTTGTGTCGCAGAAACGACCTAGGTAGAATCCCAGGGAGAAGCCTGTTAGGGCAGCCTCTCACCTGGTCGTGTGCGCGTGCCGCGGCTCGTTTCTTGTCAGGTTCTTTTCCTGTCCCGCTGTTAGATGGCGCCGCAGTGCGTGGGTCCGTCTGTCTACTGTCCTGGTTACTTTCTTGGCCACTGGACTCAGTAGTGCCCACTACTAGCAGATTAGAGGAGTTGTTCTCTGCTGCATGTGCCGTCCCACGAAGCTGGCTCTAAGACAGGGTGGCATGGCCAAGGGCCCAGGCCCGGAGCTGCTCAGGTCATGGTAGTCAGGAAGCAGTCAAGGGAGGAGGAATGGGGAGGGAGAGGGACCCCTGGGGTCCGGGGCCCAGCAGCCGATCTCCTAACTGGTGAGCTTGACCTAGAGATATGCAAGCCCCGTGGAGAAGGCCTGGGGAAGGCCAACCTGCAAGTCAGAAGTGTATCCACCTTGAAAACGCTGGAGTTTTGTTTTGCTTTTTTAAGTATCTTGACTTTTTTTGATACCAGGAATCAAACTCAGGACCTTACACTTGCCAGGCCTGTGTTATGCCACTGAGCTATAACCCCAGCTCAAAAAATTAGCCTGAAATTACTGTCTCTACAACCTGTTTTTAAAAATGCTTGTCATCTTAGCATTGTAGACTTCTCCCATGAGAAAATCCCACAGTAGCATCTGTGAATCTAGGATAAATAACTCAATCTGTAAATACCACCTTTTTTTTTCCTTTTTGTTTTTTTGAAACAGGGTCTTGCTATGCAGTTCAGGCTGGCTTGAGCTCACTTCATAGCCCAGGCCAACCTCGAACTCACAATGATCCTGCATCAGCCTCCTGATTACTGGGATTATGGATGTGCACACGGAGCACACCCAGGCTCCGTGAATATCGCTATAGGAAGGGCGAAGTAGGCCAGTGGGCGCAGTGACGGAGCCCAGCGGAGGCCTGCCTGTTTCTCTGCTGGCTGCTGGAAGGGCTGCTACCTCGAGGACCGACTTCCCCGCGTGGGCCGGTGCCGCCCGGAGGTTAGGGAGGCCCAGGCAGGAGGAAGGGCTGTTCGTTTCGTGAGAGAGTACTTACACAGGGCTGTCCACACTAGAGCTGCTCTGAACATTTACAGCCTTGTATGTTTACCCATAAACACCACTGGAGGCTCACGTAGTTGGTAGGCTAACACAAGACCCCAAATCTAATGGCTACCACACACAATCTATTTCAACCCCACATTAGACCTAGAATACTCAATTCTTTTCTTTTTTTTTTAATTAATTGGAAAATGAGAACCTTTATCTTCATATTTGTGGAGCAAACAAAGCGAAAGTCAAAGTAGTATCTAGTGGATGTGTGCAGTAGATTGTAATCAAATTAATCTTAAGTCTATTGCTATAATAATTTACCATATTCACACTGAGTGTGACTATTCCCGTGAATAATACTTTGCACGCTAAGAAAACTGTCTGTGGCCATCCAATGTGTAGACAAGCTTGCAGTTTCCTAGAGGTAGGCGCAGCGTTAGGCCTTGGCCCTTTTTTATTTTTTAAATAGGGTGTGCTATACGGGTCGGTCTGACCTGGAACTTGGGCAGCTCTGCCTCAGCCTCACAGTGCAGGGCTACAAGCCTGTGCCCCCTCGCCCTGCTTAGGCCTCGGTACTTCTTGTGGTACCAGGGATCAAACTCATGACCCTGTGCTTGCCAGGCAGGTGCTTAAGCAATGAGCTATATCTCTGGCCCAGTTCTTATGCAGCATGGAAGACCTTGTAAAGAAAGCAATTTTTGGAGAATGTGCTGCCTAGAGTCAGGAAAAAAGTATTTCTGTGATGAAATAGTGATCGCTGAATGTAGATTCACCAGCCCTGAAGGGTGGTGTGGCTGAGACTATGCCTCATGTGAACCCAGAATTCACGCTGATGTTTAATCAGTTGCTCAGGACCTTCACCTGTGCACGTGGCTCCCCCCCCCTTCTTAATCCCTGAGATTGAACCCAGGGCCTTCTCCCTGAG